TGTGTGTGTGTGTGTGTGTGTGTGTGTGTGTGTGTGTGTGTGTGTGCAGTGAGTCTCCAGCGGAGCAGACTGAAGTGTGTTTCAGGGAGCTGTTTGGTCGAGCTGCTTACGGACACATCAACAACGCCATCAAACCTGTGCTCATGTAAGAAACACACGTGTGGTAGTTTTACAGAACATACACAGTAGTAGCAGTAGGAGTGTGAGTACAGTACACAGTATAAGTATCAGTATTTGAACTGTGTGTGTGTGTTCAGGCACCTGGACAGTCACAGTCTGTGGGAAGGAAGAAGTTTTGCTGTTCGATGTTTTCAGATCATCATGTACTCCATCCAGGTGAGTACTCCTCTTAATACTACACATAACCCTGTTCTCTGAAGTACTCTGAAGTACTCTGAAGTACTGACACTACACCTCATACTGGTGAGGTCAAGACCTCAAGCAAATATATTTTGAGCAGATCGTTTTCTCTCCGTTCACAATAACGACGACATACACTCACAGGAGCCTGTGGGTCCAGTAGGTGGCGACAAAGTCTTCATCAATGATCATCTCACTGTCCAGCCCTAACGCAGCGCTAACCTATGACATCATCAGTTCATCTCAACGTTTGAGCTCTATTTAAATAAGCTCCACCTCCTTTTTCTTCGTTGTGGTTGTGAACGTCCTCAGTCTCAACACTCCCACCTGGTGATCCAGCAGCTGTTGGGTCACCTCGACGCCAACGGTCGGAGTCCGGCCTCGGTCCGAGCCGGGATCGTAGAAGTTCTGTCCGAAGCCGCCGTCATCGAAGCGACAGGTTCTGTCGGTGAGTCGCGTGTTTTCATATCTTGCCTTGGAACACGTTGAACATGTGACGTTCTGAGGGCGTGTTTAAATCTGCCCTCAGGTCCCGCGGTGCTCGAAGTCTTCAACACGCTGCTGCGACAGCTCAGGCAGAGCGTAGACTACCAGCTGACCGGTTACCACGACAACACGGGCAAACACAAAACCACCTCGGTGGAGGAGAAGACGCTGCAGGACGCCGTCATCAAGACGATCGGTGAGGTCCAGAGCAGATTCACTTCCTGTTTCCATCAAACGCTTTTAAAGTCGTCGCCTCATTAGAATCCATGTCGTTTGTCCAGGATCCTTCGCCAACACACTTCCTGTCTACCAGAGGTCAGAGGTCATGCTGTTCATCATGGGGAAGATCCCTGTTCCTGGAATCTACCCCGCCCTGGGGTCGCCCAACGCCGGGTAAGACTCCACGTCTGGATCCAACACGATGTATTTATATAACACATCTGTAGTTCTTCATTGTGTATTTAAATCTGAGCGAGTATTTAAATCTGAACGAGTATTTAAATCTGAGCGAGTATTTAAACGAGTATTTAAATCTGAACGAGTATTTGAATCTGAGCGAGTATTTGAATCTGAGCGAGTATTTGAATCTGAGCGAGTATTTGAATCTGAGCGAGTATTTGAATCTGAGCTAGTATTTAAATCTGAGCGAGTATTTAAATCTGAACGAGTATTTAAACGAGTATTTAAACGAGTATTCAAACGAGTATTTGAATCTGAGCGAGTATTTAAATCTGAGCGAGTATTTGAATCTGAGCGAGTATTTAAATCTGAACGAGTATTTAAATCTGAACGAGTATTCAAACGAGTATTTGAATCTGAGCTAGTATTTAAATCTGAGCGA